CACCTACAAAGCTTCAACAGTTAGTGTCCTCAGGTCCCAAACGCTTACTGAGTGTTGTTGAAAGGAAAGGTGATGCAACACAGAGGTGAACATGCTCAGCTTTTGTGGAGTGTGTTGCAGGCATCAAATTCAAAATGACTGAATATTTACAAACAATAAAGTTTATCAGATTGAACATTAAACATCTTGTTTTTGTCGTGTATTCGAATGAATATAGGTTGAAAAGGTTTGCAAGTCATTGTATTCTGCTTTTATTTATGTTTTACACAACATCCCAACTTCATTGGAATTGCTGTTTGTTTTTGTGTGTGTGTGTGTGTGTGTGTGTGTGTGTGTGTGTGTGTGTGTGTGTAGCTGAAACCAGCAGTTTTCATACACTGTATAAAAAGACACAAAACCTTTTTCTCTGTAAAATGCTGATGGGTTTCTGAGCAAAAATTAACATTGGCTCATTATTCTGATCTTACATTTCTATGTTTTTGTGCCAATTTTTTTCTTTTTATTTATTTTTAAATAATAATTAAATAATAATAATTCAAATAACTTTTTTAAAATGTGAAAATAATAGCAAATATCTGTAAAATAATGTTGTTGTTTTTTTTAATACGGTAAAACCATCATTTTACAGTCAAATGCTGACAAAGAACAAATCACTATTTATACAAATCAAGAGTTTAATTGTTATTTGCAGTTCTGATTTGTATTTTGTTTTGGGTTTTTTTTTACAGTCAACATGTAAATGTGTCTTTTTTAGTCTGTAATGTAATAAAACATTTTTTTTTTAAATCTCTAAAATAATAGTTACAACTGTTGTAATATTTATTCCTTAATATACAGACTTTTTCTTTCAATCAATGGTAAACACTAACAACGTGTTGTGTTCCTACTGGAGTACTGCTCTTTATCTTCCATGTGGTGGCAGTAAAACATCACAGTCTGACCTGCAGACGGAGACATGAAGCCTTCGCAAGCACAGAATTCAAAACTACATATGAAAATGAAAGTTGGCAGAAAGTTGGATTTCCAAAGAGGATCGAAAACAACTTCAGGACAACTGAATTCAATTTCTGTCTAATAAATTCATTTCAATTTATGTGATTTAAATTCAATTTTTAACAAACTATTCAAGTTTAGCGATTCAGATTTAAATACAAATGATTCAAACTCACATTTTCATTGTGATAATTTTCATTCTTTCATTTCAGCAATTCAGGCATAAATTATTCAGATAAAGTGTTTTATTGCAATTATTTAATCTTACCAATTCAAATTCAAATGTAAGTGATTCTAGTCATTTTCTCATGCCAATTATTCAAGTTCAGCAACTCAACTTTAGATACAAATGATGCAAATAATAATAATAATATGTTGGAATTATTCAAGTGAAGGAATATGTTTAAAACATATGATTCAAATATGACTTTTCATTGCAACTGCTTCTGTTCTGTGATTTAAATTCAAATTTTAATGTTTCAAAATTCTTTTTTCAAAGCAATTACACAAGTTAAACTGCACAATTTCAAGACCTGTGATTTAAATTCAAACTGATTCAAGTGATTGCACCAATGTTCTGAGGATGTTTTCGGGAGGTTGGGTGCTGTTGAGATAACACATTATGTGACGTTCTCAAAATGGTCCACAGCGTTCCTCGTTATTTATTTACTTGTTTTTAAATTAATAAAACGTTCAATATATGAAATG